CAGTTGGAGAGGGGCTGGGAGCCAGACCCAAGGACAATAAAACGTGTCAAGTGGGCTCACTAAAGAAGAGCAGACATATTGACGGCCTGGGGGGGGGAGGAGAGGGTTAGAAGCGAGCACCTTCTTTTGAAAACACCCTCTTGGAACAGCATTGAGATAACACCCAGAGGAAGCAGCACAAAGGAACAACGGACAGATTTGCATGAGAGGGAAGCTACTATAAATGTGAGGTGTCTTGCAGAGGACCCCGGGTCTCGTCTTGTCAACATGGGAGCATCGATCCGGATTGGCAGAAGCCCAGCTCCACCCCTTCCCCCATCTAACTCACCTGGCCAGTGAAGTTAAGGGGAGCAACTAGTTGGTAACAACAACAAGATGGAGTGTGTGTATGAGCTGAGGGGTGAAAACATGATCTAATATCTATCATATGCATATGATACAGTGTTAATTAATACATGTATTACTAATAAATGTGGCATTTTGACTTATTCTCCCTGAAAAGATCCTGTGCAGTACTTTAAGTACAACATATGAACCTCTCCAGGAGCTGATAACTAGAGGAATTGCATCATCATCCCCCTCCTCCTAGAGGAGTTGCATACAATTCCACAATAACACACACACAATTGCATTTTTAATACAGTAGACCCAAAGGTATTCAGCCTAATTCAATAAAAGTTTACCCAGGATATTGTCAGCCTGTCACAAAGTTCATGTCAATACAGCACACATGCTCCTTGGATTCTTACTGCCAACTGAGATACTAATTTGAAAGCACGACTTCTACCAGCACTAGCATGAAAGATTGTGATCATTTCTCCGCCATTACCCTAAAAACTAAGCTAAGTCATATAGCATCCCCCTAATGTTTTCAGCAATATATCTGGATGCAAACTTTCCAAACTTGTATCTTGTTATAGTCTTCTTGACATCCAACCTATCACATGGATGCTGTACAATACTGATATGTGTTTAAAAGAAGAATATTTTTCCATTTCTTATGTTATCCTAGTCTCCTCTTTCTTACATTCACAGGAGCTAATGCTACACTTAAAGTTGGAACTCAACTTCTATCACAATTCCCAGTTTTCGTTCATTCATTCATTACTTCATCAAAAATTCCCTGAAGGCTAAAACGTTATATGCTTAGACTTTGCTCAGAGGTTGTTTTATTGTAAGTCTGAGGAAATTTCACTTATGTGCTTTTGAGTTACATGAACAGAAAAGAAATGGATACTTTCTGCTTTGAAAATGTTGTTTAGATGTTTACTTGTGCACAAATAACTGAAAAGGAGCCTGAACTTCAAAATTTCAGAAATAAATTTAATAGTTTGTAGATCTTTAAAAAATTATTTGTATGCAGGTGCAAAATAAAATGTATCCGTTTTTAACTGTGTAATTGCAAGCAGTACTATGAAGTTGCACAATTGTGCTTTGTGCAACTCTATGGCAGCCTAGCTAGTGTATAAGTATTAAGATAGCAAAGTTTAAATAGTTGCCCTATGCCAGAGTGCTAGTAGGATATTTTCCTTTCTTTCACTTTAAAACAAAACAGGAAAATTAAATACAGAAAGCTATGTTACTTCCAAATTAAGCTTGTAAATGTCAACTTACAAATATCAGTAAATGAAGAAATTACAATTCCTCTAGCAATATTAATTCTAGTACTTCAAAGCTCTGGATTTTAAGATTCTATCTGTTCTTCAGGAAGGGTGTTTAAAAAGCAAAAACTACACATACATACACTCAGACTCAATGTTACTTAGCCTGCTGTGTAAAATCATTTATGGGTTGAGTGAAAATGTAAGACTCCAGAACTGTACTGTTTAACTTATTGCTAGTTGTGTAGTTGTTGTCTCTCAACTAAATGCACAAATCTGTGTTAATGCAATGGTTTAGGTTGCACAGTTTAAAAAAGAAAAAGAAAAGAAAAAAAGACATTCTGAAGTTTAGGTCCCAATAGCAATATTAACATGGTCATATTGCATATGTAGTGGGTCAGCAAATGTACACATTTTACAATATAAAAATATACTACACTAAGAAGAATAAAAAATGGGCGATACAGTCTATGAAACACACCTGAGTTAACTTTGCTGTGGGAACCTTAATGTTTGTATTTCTTGACTCGGTTATTTTAGCTGTAGCACCAAAGTGATTTACATTTAAAAGGGTCTTCAACAACAACCTTTTCTCTACCCTTACATAACTCATGCAATGGCCTGTCACAAAGCAATCCCTGGAGTGCAGTGTGTCCCCTCTTCATATCTCACACAGGGGTTCGTATCACCTTAACAGCAGGGAAGAACAGAGGTAGGGCCTATGACTATGCAGCCTGCCCCCCCACCATCTTCCATGTTGGCCCAAGGAGCAGACCCAGTGCAGCAGCAGGGGAGGCTAGTGTGCCACTGGGCTTCAGGAAGTGCGACACTGTGTTCTTCTTGCATTCTGGGAGGAATTGGTATTTCTGAGCTAATCCCATGTCTGAATTTAGGCCCTCATTTTCCCCTGTGGGCCTAACACATGTAGGAAAGAAGTAAGTGAGTTTAAACTAGGAAGTTCTGACTCATTCTTCTACTGGGTGTTTATATATCCCCAAGGAAGAAGCAAAGGAGATTTTTCTCCCTGAGCCCATGGATCTCAGGTGATCCTACAGGAGGCAGTTCAGCACCACTCTCTCCCACCCCTACTAGGCTACGAGCAGTTCACTGTTTGTTTAGAAGGGGAATTTGATGCTTGTGAACATGAGTGCAGTAGTTCTGGAGAATTAAGTCCTATGTTCACCCAAGGTGAAATTTACCCCAGAGCAGCAGATCAGCACCACTGAAGTCTAACTCATGCCCGCAGGATAAGACCCCAACAGAGCACACACACCTTGTGTTGACCCGCTGTATGGGAGCAACTTTCACCCACAGAACTGATGCAGCAGACATAGCAACAGAGGAAGCGTTCTCTATACCACTCCACTTAAGTAATCCAGTGTGCAGGGGAGACCACATCTAGGAGTAAGAGAGCAGGTCAGTCTCCATGCTCAAACTTTCATCTCTGTCATTTTTCATTACAATCTTAGCAATTAGCATCAATTATAGTACAGTATAGTATAGTACAGTAGTGATTTTCAGGACGTGGATAACTTGTTCAGTAAGTATTGGCTGAGGCTGCCATTCATTTCATATGAGGCTCCTCTTAGTTGTTGGATGACAGCGGTTTTTGGTCATTAGTAACTTGGGCTGATCATGAACAGATAGAAGAGCTCTGCCAGACAGCATGAACTAACGCTAAACACCGAACTCTCCAAAGCTTCTATTTGTAATGTTGGGAAATGTTAAAGCAAAAAAACACCAGCCCCCTCCCTCAAATGTTCCCTTGCACTAAATGTTTAATAACTTTCCATCCAAAGAGTGTATTTTCTACCCTACATCATCTCTATTCTATGATTTGCTCAATATAATTTGACAGTGCTCCATTTACATTAGTCTGCAGCTCTGAAACCATTGTGACACCTTGTTCTCCCCACAGTCCAGGAATTTTACAAACAAGTCAAGGCTTCTAATTACAGTTAGAAGACATCCACTACTGGTTGAGCACAAATGTAAATAGGCTGGATGCAACAATATTTTTTATTATATTTAATACAAGTGAATAGATTAGAAGATCTGAAATGTTATAAGGCAATATACATACTGAATAAATAGCACAGGAGTCATGTCTACATTATATAACACTGGCTAGTATTCAGAATACTTAAAATAAATCCAGTGACATTGGATAAAGTCCATAAAAATGCTATCCTGTCTTCCCTTGTATGAAATTGTTCAAGTATAAAAAAATCCAATACAGTGTAAAATATTAAATTCCAATTAGGTCAAGAATAAAAATTGCAAGTATTGCAGTTTCACAGGACAATGTAAAGCAGCATTCTCAAGCAAATGAAAAAATAGTCTACATACAGATGTGTGGAAAAAAAAATCTGTACTAATGTATTTGAGAGGCCTACATGAAAAAAATACTTAAGAGGGAAAAGCCTGGATCTAGCAATATTTAATGTAAAAACCTAAAAAGTGTTAATTTAAGAGTACCCTCATACAGTGCACGTACTGAATTTAAATAAATCCAAGTCAACATATTTAATTGATTAGGTTAATATTTAATATGCTACATCTAAACCTGCTAAATAATTTATGCCATGAGATGAATACATAATTTTACAGTGTCACATCTAAAGTTGCTTTCTTTAGAGCGCAGCATAGTAAAACTTTCAAAATAAATATTTTTTTTAAATAGCATTACAATTAAGGCACAGTATATATCACATACCATTAACCCTTGAAGAACTGCAATCTCAGTAACAAAAGTTGTCTCGTACTGTATGTTCTCTAATAAATATTTTTAAATATTCTGAAATAGATACTAAAATTGTACAAAGTTTCAAAAAAAGGAAAAAAAGAAGTTCCCTTAAAACAGTTCTTAAAGGTTTAAATTCAGCAAGCTTCTTCCTGCCTTTATTCACAAACCATGAACAGATGCAATAAATAGAAAGAGAGGCTGTTGTAGTAAAGGGCTGATCCTATTTCAGAATCAGAATAGCTGACACGAGCAGTTAAAGTTTCCCAAAAGTGAAACAGGCTGGGGAGAGGGATTAGAAAGTGACAAGCTCATCAAACGAGCACAAGTGATGTGTTCTTTCCAGAACTGTCTGTGTTATTGATTGTCTCTACAGCTGTTGCGCCCATTAATTCCACATCACTTGCTCCATAGTTCCACTCATCCAGAGGACAGATAAGAAAATAACTTTGGTGCCTGTCCACCATTTTATCAACCGGCCATGTTCCTCAGATTGTTCGATGCCCATTAATGAGATAGTGGGAAAATATTTTCCCACTAAAACAAGTTCTATAGGCCACAGTGAAAACTAGAAATGACAATCAGTGCTTTACACAGTTAAAAAAAAATTAAACTTGATACAGGCTACATATTGCTCACTGATTTTTTTTTCCCTGGTTCAACTTTTTCAAATAATATTTTCTCACTTGTAAAAGGCAGTATGCTTCCCTGATACTGTAAAAAATACACATTTACTTTTTATTTTTTTTAATATAAAGTCCCATTGTTGCTCCTGCCATGGTTTCATGACAGTACATTATAGATTGTTTCTTCTCAATTGATACCTGAAACTGGTACTCCCACCCCACCCCTTCCCTAATAGCAACATTATTTGGATGCATGCTGTATGAAGACAGTGGAATAAAAAAAAAATCTTTAACTTTGCAGTAGCATAGCTTTTCTTAAAGCTGCTTAGTTAAATGTTAATTGTCTCTTATTAACTACTTATGTTGGAAGGCTGGAAGAAAGGAAGAGAAAGAAAGAGATCCATCTTTCTTCAGAAGTCCATCTGCTATTGCATGCGGTCTGTTTGCAGCTGTTGTGGCTGGTACTGGCCAAAAGCTGCAGCAGCTGTCCCAGGTGCTGCTGCAGTGAGTGGTTGCTGGACTGCATAGCCATAACCCCCAGCAGTGACATATCCTGCAGCAGCTGGGGATGCTGCATACGGGTACTGGTCATAGGCAGCAGCGGCAGCAGCAGCTGCCGCAGCTGAGTATTGTGCATATGCCGCTCCAGTGTAATCAATGTAAGGTGTGGTGGAGGCAGCAGCTGCTGTAGGTTGGACATGTGGAATTACAACTCCTGGCTGCACAAAAGCCTGTGGATAGACATAATGAGCAGGTATCCTGTTGAAAGATGGAAGAGAAAGTTAGAGGAAAACTTATGAATTTTAAGTGCTATTTCCATAATTCAGAACTAAACCAAACTCAATTTAGTTGTTGTTATGAGCATAGGGTTGCCACAATAGCTAGATTTATTTAATACACCAATGTATCATTTCAATAGCACAAAGAGATGCATTGCTCAAAAACCCAGCATTAAGAGATGACTTAATAACATTAAACATAACACCATCCAGCAACACTAAACATGTTCACTTTAAAAGCTTTAGAAGGGCCAATATTTGGGATGTCAGCTTAAGACATCTGTAAAAAAGTTAAATTTGTTTATTCCAGATCCAAGCTTGGATTGTTTATTTTTAAAATAATTTGTAAGTGATTTTGTTGCCCTAATTCTGACTAACCTCATTGACTATTAGTAAAATGCGTTGTTATGAATACAGGTTTTATTACAACAGCTATGCAATTTGACAGCGTAGTCACTATCAAGCAGTTTGCCAGTAGTAGATAATGCAGCTAAACAGTTTTTTAGTTGGTCAGTTCTGTAGCCCATCACTCTCTCTCCTCCACCCCCCAATCTTCTTGTAAAAAAAAAAAATTTGTATTGTGGCAACCCTACTTAGATTGCTATGCAGACTCAGCACACATTAATTTCTCTGCAACTTCAGTCACCCTTATTAAAAATTAAAAAAACAAAACAAAAAACAAAAACAAAAAAAACACAGGCGACAAAGGAGTTTAAAGTTCACAAGTGTGGTAAACACAGCACGAATCACACTTTCCAAACGAACTATAGTGCAGCTCACTCGGTCACAAGAGGCCATAGAGGAGAAGCTACATAGATGCTATTAAAATTAATAACAGTGATTCCTAAGTACATGTGCATCACACTTTTGTAAAGGTCATAAGGACACAAGGGTCAAACCTGTTTGACTATCAGGCCACTGATGTCCTGTTTTGTGCCAGCTTGTTTATTTCTATGCAGGACATACAGCATAGAGTTTTGGGAGATGGGGGTAGGATTAAATCTAAATAGATCTGGTGTTTAACAAAAGCAAAAAACAAGTTTATGGCTCATTAAATAACTGTTTGAACAAGTCAATAGATACACTTTCCCATTTCCTCCTCCAAATCAGAGAGCTTTGCTTCCTTAACTTACTAGCCCATGATTGAACTACTTTTGATACCAGTAGTAATCCTCTCACATCACACATCTGCATACAATTAATCCCATCATTCCATTGTATCATGTAATATTAAAGACATGCTTTAGAGTAGAGTAATACCATGTTCATTATACACTTAATCCCCCAATCTTGCAATTGGATCCATGAGTAGACTGAAGTCAGTGGGGCTCTACGCAGCCACAAAGTCTGCTTTTGCAGCTCCCAGTGCAGGATCGGAGCCTTAGACTTTGCATGACCGTTAAAAATTTCCCTTTCCGGCTGAGTCTAAAGACAACTCCAGCCTTTTACCATTATATTTACATTGTAAACATAGCTGGAAAATTGCAGCACTACCATTTGTCCTCTTCCTCCAGCTTTAAGAGCCAGACAGTTTTTTTGAAAATAAAATAATAGTTTTACTTCCAGTTGTCAACAATTCAATTAAATGGGATACTGTCAACTAAATTCATCCCAAAATAAAAAAGCCAAAGCATTAAATCTGATTGGCTTTTTAAATTATAAAAACTTAAACATCCGTCAGTTTAACATCCACATAGAAGTGAATGAGCAGCAGTAGTTATGACTTAAATATTACTTTAAACAGTGAGAAGATAGTAATACATACTACATTTCTAGATCTTTCTCTGTGCGAACACAAATGACGTTACCGAGGATTTCTTAGAACACTTGTACAACTTCTTTTTAAAAACTAGACTGAAAGATACACATGCTCCCACTTAAACCCTTGTGACTTGTTTCCTTTAAGCCAAGAAACAAAACAGGTGGTGAATTACAAAACTATCCCTTTACAACAGCATTTTAGTCTGCATTATACATGAACCCTGTGCAGGCCCCCCACCATCATGCCGTTTCAGATATGGTGATTGACAGTATAAGCTGCAGTGGGGCTATTTTTGATCCATCTGTCATGAGACAAGGGTTTCAAGCAGAGTAAAATGACTTTATAAGGCCAAAGTAAACGTCTATCTACAGCAAAGGCAAGAATGCATACATCTCAATGACACTGAAACACTGCTCTTTAATCTTTTGACCTCAGTTTCCCATTGTGCTGTGACACCTTAATAAAACACTCAGGTTTTTATAAAAGAGTACTACTTTATAACAGACAATATTATATTGGGACAATATTTTAATTATACAACGGTCTTATGGCAAGGAATTTTTTTCCATTTTGTAGTAAAGCTACTGCCTTAAAGAAAAAAGGTAATGTTTAGCACCAAGTAATTTTGGTGCATACAAGTGCTCTTGCCATCAGATTTAAGATTTTCATTAACCTAAGCTGCAAGAATACTTTTGCAAAGTTAGAACATTAATTAGGTTTAATACTATAGTAGCTGTATAAGTAACATATTTGGCAGTTTACTGTAAGTGTTATGCATACAAAATACAACTGAAACAAAAAGGAAGCCTAGGCTGATCTGGAATAGTATTAATGGACAGAACAATTGTGATACCATTGAATTCTTGAACAAGTAGTTACTGGACTGTGCATGAGACCTGTTCCTTCTATTCTGGATCTTGCATTGCTTCATCTGTTCTTTGTAAGTACAATTAACTAGCAGATTTAATTCAAAGTTCAATATTGAACAGCCTTCTTATACCAGAACAAGAGTTATGCACACTAAACAAAACAAACAAACAAACAAACAAAAAAATCAAGCATGTTTTGGGGGTTAAGTTTGTGCTCAATGCCTTCTGCAGGATATTGAAAAATATATACATTTGGTTTTCTTTGACCATGGCAGTTTCATGCCACAACTGTTTCAAAATTATCAGCTGCCTGATGTTACACAGATCTTTTAATTATCAACTGAGGTCAGAACTCTTCCCCCCATCCCTTATAATCAATTATTAGGATTTTGTAAAACTTAGAGGTGACTTAGCAAGTGTTTGATATCAGCTAACCATTCGTTGGCCAGCTTGTCCTCTTGGGACTTAATTCGGCCGTCATTGAAGTTGGTGGGAACTTTTCCATTTACTTCAGGATCAGTCCTTAGACGAACAGGGAAAAAGATCTAACTATTCACATCCTACATCCACCTCTCCCTTCATGCATGTAATTTTCCACTGATGTTAAGTGGTAATTATGCATGCAAAGGAAAAGAAGCTACCTCAATGGAACAAAAAGATCTTTAAAAAAACGCATTAATTCAAAACTACATTTGGTGTTTCAGTATACAGCTATACTTTTATGAGTCACAGTGGGATAAGTAACCCACACTGAACTCTTCAAGGTCCCTTCCTGACCTACATTTCTATGATTGTGGTCAGATTCAGCATGCCAGGTCTCAGCATATAGTAAATGAGATTCTGGATGTAAAGAGGGGGTGAGATCAGGAAATGTTACTTGGGTGAGAGAATTAATCGCTATAGCATAGAAAAAATAAACCAGAACTACAACTATTTTATGAACAGGAACTAACGTTGCCTCTCTTAGCTAGAGTAAAGCCGGGGGAGGGGGGGGGGAGAGGAAGGGGGTACCGTACTCAGAACTAAGTATATTCTCCCACTAAATCTGATGTAATGTGATGCTGAAAGTAACTGCATTTTGTCTGAAAGGTAGAACTCTGACAGAGCACTGCTGACAAGAGCAAAGTAGAACCTCACTAATTTGCACTTTGCTAATTAATTCACATGCAGAAATGGCACTCTGCTAATTAATCCACACAAAAATGGAACTCTCTCCCCTTTTACTCGCAGAGCACAGTTCTGAGGTTCCATATTACTTAATTTTACATAGCATATGGAAGTACACTTACTAATATTCACAGAAAAAAATTAAAACTCAAAGTATGTTTCAATGGAGCCCAGCTATCACCTCAAAATATTACTCTTTACAGAAAAATTCTGTCCTTTTTAGCAGACCCAAACATTAAAATGTCTGAAAAATGAGCCCTTACACAACACAGCCTGTTCCCCTTTTTCATACAGTCATCACTCTCTTACTCCACTCAGTTTTCACTGCTCTCCCCAGCCTTTATCCCCTAGAATATATGCATAGATCAAAATAAGAGTTTAGTGGGAGATTATTGGAAGTGCATCTCTTGAACATGAAGTTAGATTGTATAATCTTTTGTAACTGGAGGTAACAGAAAAGGTGCAGGGAACAAGGATAAAAATGAATACTGGATTCTGCCAGTTTAAAGCACATACCACCCCTCTTTGCAAAATATGCCTCTAATTCAGATTGATATACAGTGTGTTAGAACCAGAAAAGGCTGATGGATTGGAGAAGAGCATCCATTTTTATTAAGTCCCTTAAGCAGTAGATAGTCCCAGTTCCTCCTTTCTTGCTATGCTAGGCAAGTACTTCCTACAGCTGCTCCCTTCTCATTCCACCAGCTCCTCTTTGTAACCCTGCTTTCATGCCCTTCTAGGTAACCCCTCCCTTAGTGTGAGCATCAGATTATCATCATATATTCTTTTCAGTTTCCCCACCATTTCTCCAAGAATATTAAGAGATACTTCCCTTCAACAAAGCCAGCAAGACATATCTGGGAATATTATAAGAAGCAAAAAAAAAAAAAGTCATAATTGAGCTTCAGATACATTTTCAAAATTAGTTTCCTGATTATTACCATGCTTCCCAAAAAACCACTAAACCACTCTACTGTGAGATAAGAAGTTGTATGTAACGTTTCTGGAAGACTGATTTCCCATCCCCACAACTTTTTCAAAAGGAAAACGATCAACTTCTAATGGAAAGCTAGCTTCAACTTTAACTATGGAGCAGCTACTGCCATTTCATAATACCAAGGTACAGTATCTTATATCTACACTTGTCAAGTAATTGAACAAAGTACATCCTTTGATTCATTCTCCTGCTTTGTTAGCTTATTTATTAAATTAGCAAAATTTATTATTTTGCAGTGACCTAGTCAGCGTGAATTAGTGAGGTGGTACAGGACAGAAAATTTAAGCAGACTTCACCTCCTAATTTTAAGTCTATAAAAAGCAAGTGTTAGAAGTACTTAGGAATAGTATACTTGTATTTTTTTTTTATTAAAGGAAATGCACTACATATTGAAGTCTGATGGAGAAGTTAAAGACTGGAATTAGAAAGCCCAAGTGGAAGCACAATGTTAATCAAAAGAGCTCCACACCCCTTCATACCCCTCTCAAGGAACAAAACCAAGAACTATAAACATGCAAGCAATATGTTGATTTTCTTTATTAAAAAAAAAAATCAAGATGTCACACAATTTAGCACTCAATACAAAATACGAATATGGTTAAAAAAAAAAAGTTACAGGCTACAGCTTGAAAGCAAGAAAAAAAAAAAAGTCCCTTTGCTCCCCATGGCAAAGTCAACACTCCTCAACAACAAAAACAAAATTAAGAGACCCCCAAAAAACTTTCACTACAGCTCTTTCAATTAAATAAAAGCACACGGTTTAGCTATCAACACCACTTCATTTCTGTAAAAAATAATAAAAAAAAAAAGCACACGGAGGTCTATTGACTATATGAAAAAACATACATGCATCGTTAATCACCATTTTAGCTTGTTTGTGTTTGAGTCTACTGGTTACAGTGTTTAATTCCAAACAGAACTATTCCACCTCTTATCATCATATCCTTCTGATCAGTTATCTTAACTGTAAACGATCCCTGTCAGATTAGAAAGAGATAAATAACATTGAGTCAAGCTGGGGGAAAAATAAATAAATGGGGGGCACAGCGATCTTGTATGAAGTCATACCACTTTCTTTTATCAGAGGTGGTATGGGTCTGATCCGCTTGGGTTGGGAGGGCTGCATACTTTGTATCACAACTCGACTCAGCTATGGTCTTTAGAGCATTACCAAAGAGAACATATTTACAAGGTATATGTTTTTAAGTCTGGAAATTTGAATGGCAGCATTATAAAGTCAGTGACAGTACTGTGAGAGGCCATCCAAGGTTATACTTTGTTTGTGGACCTGTTTTAGAGACTTACCCAAAAGGCCTCTGTATGAGAGCTGGATGAAGATGCTGAACACCAAAGGCAAAACCTACCAACAAAACACATCACATTCTCTATATGAGCATTCCATCAGCTGCTTAGTTATGCTATACACACAGTAACCTTCACTAACAAGCACTAGTAAAGATGTTCAACAGAGCAAAGAACCACAGGTTACAGAATGAGTGTTTTAGATAATTTTTTTTACAATTTAAACCAGAGGTACATGATTGTGACTCCTGCCAATTTTCAAAAAGACAACTTATTTGGCAACAACTAGGAGAATTTCACCGAACTGTTATTTAAAAGCAAATGTTTTCTAGCAGCAGAG